ATCTGCTGTACAAAATCCTGGTTTAGTCTAAAAAAACTCCTCTATATAAAGTAAAATGTAGTGCAAATTATTGCCCTTTACAGAAGGCTTCTGGGTCTTTTTGGTTGTGACCACAAACTTCCTGCAAAAACCCTTCAGCAAAAGCTTTTGTGCACATGTTTTGTGAACCTTGCATGGCCTTTGGTTGAGCTGTGCTTCATAAATGAGCTGGGAGCATAAGAAATTAAGTTGTTACCAGCAGACCCCTGTCCTCTCTGCTGGGAAGAGCCTGGCAGTGCAGTCACAGCCAGCAGAAGTCTCCTTGGAAAGTGTAAGCAAAGAGGGAGGAGAGCATTTAGCTTAATAAAATTCCAGTCATTTTGAACAGATCAAGCCTGAAAAAGCTGTTTTCCTCTCAAATTCAAGGAAGGCCTTCAGCAAGAATTCTCGGGGGCTTTGCTTTGGAAGTTAACAAAAAGACAACCATAAATGGATAAATTTATTTGTGTGTTTTTTTCCAAGAAAAAGAAACAGGAATGAAAAAGATTGAAAAGTAACAAGATGCAGACTTTCTAAGCTTGAGATGACCAATCCCACTTAATTAGTGGCAGAAAGGCATGGTGAACAAAACTGTTGACATAAAAACAGTTGTTGTTACTGAGAAGGAATTACCCTTCTTTGCTGAAACTAAATAAAGCAGCCTCTTGAATCTAGAGAAGCCCTGTGTTCAGATTGGCTAAACTGTATTATTGTGATTGTGTTCATGTCTATTAACTGAAGAATGTACACATGATGGTTTCATAACATATTTTTAGAATTTTTACGGGTCTCTAACTGTAGATTGTGCAAAATTAAAGCAAAGGGTGCTGGAAGCTCCTTTCCTGGAGAGAGGACAACAGAAGGTGACTCTGACTTGGCTTGTGTCATAGACTGTAAAGTAACTGATTGCTGTCAATAAACTTAAAGAAAATTGTTTTCAGAGTTCAAGATACAGTGTTGACTCAGAGCTCAGAGAGTATCTGACGCTGGAGAGAGTGTCTTTTTAATTTCTTACTGTCAAGATACCAGATTCAATTTATCATCCAGTTAGGGAAGGGAGGCCAAATGACTGGCAGACTTTGCAAAGTCTACTAAACCTTAAATGCTCTGAGCACAGGCAACCACATATGTGAATGACATCCTTTGTCTTTGTTTGGGATGGGGTTTGTAACAGCAAATAAACCCTTTCAGGCTTGCATTCCCACCACTGAATGTCTCCCCACACCTGCTGTAGGTAAAAACCAACATCAGAGAAGAGTGATAGGTATTTATGGCACCATTCAAGTAAAAAAAAACTGTAGAAAAAGTCTTGGTGTCTTGCTCTGTGCAGTGGGCTGTGATTGTACCCTTCCAACTTTCACAGCAGTCTGCAGGTGAATCTGGGCAGTTAAAGAAAGTGGTTGAGAACAGAGAACAGCTTGTGAATAAAAATATGAATGATTTTAATTGCAATTATAGTGCTATCTAGAGACATGAAATCAGCTTGTAGGTCCAGCTTGTATGCTCAGCCCCTATAATGTTATTTGATTTTTGAGCAGCATTACCTGCATTTTACAGGCTTTGGGAAATGAAGTACAGAAGGACTGAGGGGTTGTTTTCCATCAAGTGTGCAGGAACCTAATTACTGTGAAAGTCAGTGGGAGGCTGGTGCCTAAAATCCCTTGCAAATCTATTCCTAACTAAATTGTCCTGGCTCATGGAGGGAGTTGAGTGTCACTTCTTGAGTGGCAGAATGCCAGAGCACTGTCCTCTGCCAGGTTCAGTTATTTTTCAAAGAACTTGTTGAAAACATATTTCAGAGCAGAGGGTATCTGTCAGCGTGTTCAGAAGGATCATCTCTTTTATGGGAATTTCAAGCTTTAACAACTACCAAAATAACAATAACAATAAAAAAATTCATCTTTTTTAGAATTCTGTAGCAAATTAAATGAAGATGAATATGATCAGGACATTCCAACCTGGAGCTGCTCTACTCCCTCTCTGCCATGTAAGGTTCTGCCCCAGAGCATTACCCTCCACCACCTGTGTTAAAAGTAGGGCTCGAAAAAAGAGCAAGAACTTATCCTGTTATTCTGGATTGTCCAGTTTCTCTCTTCCCACATCCTTTCCACATCCTCTCCTGAATCCTGTGATTAAATGAGCTGACCTTGTGCTCCTCTACAGTTTCTGAAATTAGACTCCAAACCCACCCAGTAACATTGCCTCTGTGTTCTTATTAGTGACAAATTACTGCCTCTGTTTTCTCAGTGACAAATCTCCTAGATGATAGTAGCAATGCAAATTATAGGTTGTCTTCATTTCTGGGATGAATTCCATCATTGATGGTGGACAGATTTGATGTTGTACCTAATTATATTACAAGTGACAGGATGCAGCTGCTGTTGTTCATAGTCTTGAGCTGTTACCACAGTTGAGCACAGCCTGTGCTGAGTGTGTGACAGGCTGTTGTACAGCTGTCTAAAACATTTCTGAAAGGGAACAGACTTAACTGCCTGGAAAAAAAAAATAAATTAGGAATCATAGTATCATTAAGGTTGGAAAAGATCTCTTAAGATCAGTGTCCAAGGCATGTGCAGGCAATTTCTCCAGGAAAATGCTGGGGGAGACATTCTGAGCTCCAGGTAGACACATCCAGAAGTGTCACCCTCTGGGCTTATCCTGTGTGTGTTGTAAATACAGCTGCTCATGACCCAAGTCATCCTCATTTCAGCCATTTACTAAGCCCAGGAATTCTGGCAAGGTCTTTTGCTGAAATTTGGCCATCTGAGCTGTGAAATGTAGTTTCAAGGCTAAGCTCAGGCACAAATGCCCCCTGTGAAATGAACTGAATGGCTTCATTTCTCAGTGCTGTAAACTCAGGTGCCTGGGGGACATAATTCCCTTTCTTCTGCTTTTTTTCCTGGGCTAGGTTGGAAGTTTTGGGGAGCTGACACCACTTGATTCTTATGTGCTGAACGCCGAGGCATGAGGAGGTGCAGAAACGCTGTTGTGTTGGTGCTTGACCTTACAAACTCTGTGGTCAACAAGAAATCCAGAGTGTGTCTGACTGTGATTGTAAAATCCTCTTTTTTCCTGGCTGTACAGACCTCCACATGAACTATCTATTGGTAATTGCACTCTGTCTTTAATGTCCTGGGCTAGGGAATTGTGCATTTATATAATTCCTCATGGCTTCAACCTCTACTCAGTCACAAACTGGCTCAGTAAAGACTGTCTGCAAAAGCCTGTTTTCCAGAGCTACAGGAAATAGCATGAAAACTGGGATAGGAGCAGGAGTGTGTGTGTGTTGGTGGGTACACATGCAGGGGAGCAATAACAGGTCACAGGGGAATGGGTATTGTGATAAATAATTGTCCCAGACTATAACTGTGTGAAAGGAGAAGACAGGAATTCCTACGCCGTGCCATTATTATTTTTTGTGAGCTTTTGTGTAAACAAAAATATACAAAATCTGCAGTATCCCTATGCAAAGGTGACCGTGTCATGGTGATCATGGTCCCATGATCAGCACTCGTTAAAAAAGTCTTTTCTCCCTGACTTTGCTGACAGAATTTATATCCCCAGAGAGAATTCAAGGAAGCAAACACAGAAATATCAGTGCCATGTCTCTTTAGGAAGTCTGGACCAAGCAAGGTGCACGTCTTGCAAAATACGGTCAGACAAGCAAAAAAACCATGAAACCCATATTATACACCAACAGCTCTCAGCACTGCACAGCAAACTCTTCCAGCAGAATGTTTAAGGCAAGTTTGGGGATTTTGTAGAAGGAATTTCTCTAGGGTTTGCAGGTAATGAGAAAATCAGGAGAAATGTGAACCAATTAATGCATTCGACAAATGGCCACAGTCTCTGTTCCATTTGTGAATGATTTTTCCCAAAGGGATAAGGACCCTTGTCCCATCTGTTCATGCCTCTCTCCTCAGAAGTGTTCAGGACCCATATTAAAACCCCAGAGAAGTACTTCAGGCTGGCTGGCTTTTGTTTGAACCCTTGGAAATGAGGGGCTGCCTCTGCCGTGGAGTGTTGGCTCTTGAGAGCAGTTGAGCACCAAGTGACAGCCTTCCTTTTTAATTTCTCTGCCTTTGTAGTTTGAGGGCAGACTCCAATCAGATGTCTGTGCTGATGAAGCACGAAGTACAGCATGTAATACATCTCTCATTTACCAAGCCAGTGGAGGATACAATAATATTGAAAACAGGAACAGCTCAGTGCTTCTCCTGTGGACTCGGGGGGTGGTGGTGTGCACTTCATGAGTTTGTTTGCGATTCTTATCAAGAGATCCTGTCTGGTGAAATCACAGTAGCAAAAGGTTAAGGTTACCTGTAAGATCAGTCTTTTCCTTGCAAGTCTGGACATAATGACCTGAGACCAAACTGCAGGTACATGCCCTTTAACCTTAGTGCAGCCCCTGTACTGTTTGGTACAGTGGGAAATTCTTTGTCCTTGAGGTGCACTGAGATACTGCTCTTACTCTAGTTACATTTACACCTAAATTATCAAGTGAAGTGCAGAAATATTGAATGAACCATTCTTTTATTTGAAAACTGGTTACTGGAGGCCAGTTTCTACATTTCCAGAGGGTTATCAATCCTTTGAGTACTTCTCTAGAGATTATTCCTGAGGCAGATATTTGAATGCATGCATGTCCTTTCAGAACATCCAGTGGTGTGCTGCAGACTTGAAGGTCTTAAACACTGCCCAGTGAAGGAGAGGTGGCTTGAACCTTTTGGGGCAGATCTGATTCTAATTTTTAGAGGTTGTAACATCTGCCCTGCAAAAGCCAGATGTTGTTTGGCTTTGCTAAATTTCAGACACAGTGGGAGGCTGCCTTATGCTCCACTGCCTTTAAGTGCAGAGTTCCAACAGTCCCCTCTGTTGGACCAGAACAAGCTCAGCAGTGCTGCTCAGGCCTCGCAGGGTCAAGCTTATTTGGGAAGCTGTGATTATCTGAAAGCCTTTTTGTCACCTTCTTGCCCCTGCAGCGGCCAGTTTGCCATAGTGAAGAAGTGTCAGGAGAGGAGCACGGGTGTGGAATACGCCGCCAAGTTCATCAAGAAGCGGCAGAGCCGGGCGAGCCGGCGCGGGGTGAGCCGGGAGGAGATCCAGAGGGAGGTCACCATCCTGCAGCAGGTCCTGCACCCCAACATCGTCAAACTGCATGACATCTACGAGAACAAGACGGATGTGGTCCTCATCCTGGAGCTGTGAGTAAGGGCACTGCCCTCCAGGGATGGGGGAGGGCAGCAGGAACTGGGAAGCACTGCAGAAGCTGCTGGAACACATCATCATCATCATCATGGCCAGGCTTCGCGAACGAAGATTTGGGGAGGGCTCTACTCACGTTTGTTACAAGCACACTGGTGGCTAAAAAGGCCAATACGAGACAGGCACATCTGATTGCAAAAGGCACAGCAGAAAGACTCCTTAGGTGGTAAATTCTGCGAGGCAGGATTCTTTCTGTGTTTTCTTTTCTCCTCCAGAGTGATCCTGCTGTGTTCTCAAAGGCATCAGCAGCGTTATAGATGCTGTGTCTCCAGGCCTCCTGATTGGAGGCCAGAGTAGACCAGTTATGTTGGTCAATATGGCCAAGGCTGAGATGTTGTTTCAGGGAGTCCTTGTATCTTCTCTTCGGGGCTCCTCTCTTGCGGCAGCCGGTGGCAAGTTCACCATGGAGCAGGATCTTAGGGAGGGGGTGGTTGGTCCTTCATCCTGGAGACGTGCCCTGCCCAGCACAGCTGTGTTCTCAGCAACATGGCCTCAATGCTTGTGACTGCTGCTTGTTCTAGAACAGATGTATTGGTCACATAATCTGAGCAGTGGATGTTTAGGATTGTTCGGAGGCAGCGTTGATGGAAGCGTTCCAGGAGTCGCAGGTGGTGGCGGTAGATGACCCAAGATTCAGACCCATATAAGAGAGTAGACAGCACTATGGCTCTGTAAACACTGATCTCGGTACTTTCCTTCAAGTGTTTGTTTCGCCAAACTCTTTTATGAAGCCAGAACACACGGGCACAGATAATGGAGCTGCTGCATTCTCAGGCCTCACAGGTTTTGGCAGGAGCACGGAGTGAGGTTGCTGGTAAACAGTCCCCCCTTTATCCGTGTGCCCTGGGTATACAGGTGTACCTTAATGGTAGCTGAGGTCATTTGACACTGAGCCAGGGAGTGTTGTCAACTTGAAAACAGTTTGCTAACAGAGGGATTACCTCATGTCTGCCTCCTGCTGCCCTGCCATGAACTTTGGAGGAAGTACAAGTGGCCACTGAATGCTCATTTCATTTTCCCTCCTGCTTTCACACATGGGAGGCCATCAAACCCTTTGCAAAATTTGCAGCCATTCTCACTACTCCCATGTTTTCCTCATTTAGATGAGCTAAGGGAAAAGAGGAGAGGAGGGCAAGGGAAGAGGTTTTTTAATCCCTAGTCTTTGACTGTCAAGGATGAATAGCAGCAGGATGGGAGGGAAGCAGAGCTGCTTACTCCTCCCTCCTGCCACCACGTGAGGGGGGCAAACCCCTGCCATTTAGGTCCTGTGACAAGTGAACCTCCTAACCAAGCAATCTGTGGGCTGCTGTAGCCTCATCCCACCATGCAAAGTGATGCAATTTTTCAGTGTGTGTGAGGCATGGAATTCACAGTCACCATGGTTGAAGTGATGTAGACCATCTGTTCCCTGAGGAACCAGCCTTGACCTTGGGCATGGAATCCAGGCAACAAGGCTTTTACCCCTGAGCGAGATGAAGTAACCACTGGCTTTCTAGGGGAGCCAGCATTCAGGCCAGGCAGCATTTCTGGAGATTACTGTGACTGGAGGATGGCATATGAGTAATGATGAGCATCTGTTACCTTTGACTTCTGTGTCTATGGCCAAATGTTGATCTCTGCAGCCACGCTCTGGAAGGCAGGAAAGGAACTTGCTTTTTCTGACTGGCAGCCACTTTGGGCTAAAACAATCTCCTATTTCATCCCCTTCTGCTTTTTCCTGTCCTCACGTGCCCTGACACGTTCTGTGTGTCCTTTTGTCAGGCTCTAACATACTGCTCAAAGTCTGGGTGCAGCACAGTTCTGACCTGATTAAGGCCTCTGCATTCAGCTGCTGTGTACAAATTGAGGATGATGATAATAATTGCTAATAAAGGTAATTAAATTGTCTCTGTAAATAGATGATCTCTCTCCCTCTGACACTCTGCTCTGTCTCATACTCCCTGCAGTTTATCAAGGTAAGCTTACAGCACCTGGCCAACCACTCTTATGTTAATCTACAGTGGACTTCAGCCTCAAAAAAATGTCCCCAGTATTGTTGGTTAATTGAAGAAGCTGCTCTGGTGTTTAAAAGAGGCTTTGTCCAAAATGTTGACCCTTTCCCAAACTCCCTGTGCTGGCACAGGCGAGGCTGTCTCCTCCTCACACAGGGGTCACTCCCACAGGTGCTGTTACTCCTGTCCCAGAGCAGGAGGAGCAGTGCCAGGTCCACTGCTGTGAAGTGCAACATGGCAGGTGCACAGTGTGTCCTTCCTCGTGCTCATTGTTCAGGCATTTCCTCCCCACAGCTTTTTGTGAATTTGCTGTTCTGTGTCCCCTGGGCCCTGCCTGGAGGCTGCCCTGCCCAAAAAGTAGCAGCCTGAGGTAGGTTTGATGGGCACCCCAGTCTCCTCTACTGGGAAGTGTCAGGGCTGTGTACACAAAGCAGCTCCTGCCAAGAAATGAGACAGTGTTGTTGTTTACTTTTCCTTCCAAGTCCAATAAAAGACAGAGGTATCATTTTCTCTCTTCCTTGCCGTGGCAATAAGGTGACCTGCTGTAAGGGAAGGAGATTGAACCAGAGGAAGGAAATTTTCTGTGACCTTTGAGAAAGGAGCATTTGCAGGTGGTGATGTTCATCCTCCCTAGATGTTCAAATGTAACTTGTAGTGCAGTTATGAGTGTTGTACTGCAAAGGAATTAGTGCTGAAGTGTTTTTTGGGTTGTTTTTTTGGGGGGATTCCATAATGGCTGGCTTTTGGGATTGCTAAATCTCTTCTGCTTGAGGGTTTCTCTGAGTTCAGGTGCATAACATGGATAAGAATGATCCTGCACTAAACTGCTTACCACTCTCTAGGTACAATTTACTCAAACCTGGTTTTAAAGCCTGAGTCTTTTGTTAGTGAGAAATCATCACATCTCTTCTACTGAATTTTCCCTTGGATTACTCTTTCAAGATCTCTACAGCTTAGGCTAATGTGTTAGGCTATAGTACAAGAGACTGGAGATTGTCACGTATGCCAGTCTCTGACCTTCAGAAAATGAGATGTTCATGTGGTTTTGGTAGGAGGGAGTCTTTTGCTGATAAAGTAACAAAGGGACTTCAAACTCCCTGGATCTTTTCATGTTGCTTCCTGTTTTATTTTTAATGTTTTGTTCTGTACCTTGGAAATCCCCTGCAGCCTGATTCACGGTTAGTGTGAACTAGAGGGAAGTGGGAAAATACATCAAGAAGCTCCCAAGTAAATCCCCTGTGACCTTCATTCTTGCAGGCTGCATATTTTCTTCAGGATGCCTTGGGCTTAGCTGGTTGCCCAGGATGTTGGCGAGGTTGCCACTGGGGAAAAATTCCTGGTGTGCCCTGAGCAACCAACCCAGCTGGTTTAAGTGACCACTCTCGGGGGCAGCAAGAGAGAAAGAGAATTAAGGGACCTCCAGTCTGGGCAGCTGAACCATTTTTCTGACATTCCTTTGTGTAGCAAAGGAGATTCCTCAAAAGGAAGCTCCCAGTCTCCTCCAAGAGGAAAGTATCCTCTGACATCATTAGCACAGTGCTCTGTGCCAGGGCAAGGTGAGCAGGGGGACTCTTCCAAGTGGCTCAGCTTCTGTACTCTCCTGAAGTGGTGCCTGCTTTTGCTTGTCCTGCAGGACTGGAGCCTGGGCTGTGTGGGCTCTTGGTCTGGGCTCAGAGAGGGCTGCTTAATTCTTAGGCCTGGTTTGAGTCCACCATAAGAAACAATCAGCAAGGAGATTTCACAGGATAAAAGAGGAAGAGAGAGAGCAGTGTGCCTACATGGTTAAATTCCAGCCAAGTACAAGAGCTGTCCCAGCCCAGGTGGCTGCCTGATGGCCGGATGCAGTGTCTGCCAGGGGGGATTGCTTAAGTGCACTTGAAATAGAAATAGTTGAGAAAATGAGCCTCCCCTGCTCACTGACCACAGATTTCACCGAGACACCACCAGGGTTTTCTTACAGATTTCCTCACTGGTTTGTCACAGTGGGCTGTAATAATTTTTAAACTAATGAACCAAGACCTCTAACCTACTACAATATGGAAAGGAGGCAGTGTTCCCTTCCTCCTGATATGCACAGAGCACAACAAAACCTGTCCAGCCAAGCTGAAATTAGTGCTGAGACCCTTGGGGTGTGTCACTTAAAAAAGAAAATCAGAGATCCAATAAGAGTCTCACAGGCCGAGTAACTGAGGTGAATAGAAAGGAGAGTCAAAGACAAGTTGCAACATATTCCTGGGTTGTATGAGCTTATTTTGGTTTGCCAGACAATTTGCCAGAGTTGTAACAATTAAAGCATCAAGTGACTCTGCCCAGGTGAAGTGAGGTCACTGCCAGCTGAGGTGTCCTGCCTCACGTTGCTTACAGAAGTTTCTGGCTATGTGAGAGCTGTGAAAAAATACCCAGTAATCAATGCCCAGGTCACCAGGCTCTGCCTCTGGAACAAGAAAGTGTGTGTCACCCACAGCAAGAGCAGAAGTGAAGGCACCAGCACGATCTCGCTGTGGCTCTTGACATGTTGTCCTTGTTTGCAGGTGACTTGTCCTTGCAGGATTTGTAGCTGGTCTTGTGCTTGCACTCCGAGTGTGAGCAAAGGTGGGTGGTCACCCTGTACCCAAGAGCAACACCTGCTTTATGGGTAAATTTAAATGAGAATAAACCAATAATATTAATGACAGCATGAACTGGAAACAATAAATGTAAGCATAATTATGAATAGCAGCTGCAAACAATCCCCAGTTCGATATTTAGAGTATTTTGTTTCATAATGTATAGAAAAATAGCACTGGAACTCTCAGTACAAGGCACAGAAATGAAAATAGAAGTCTTGGGTTCTAAATAAGGAGAAAATGTATTCCAATTCTGATGTGAAAACTCATAGTAACGAAGAGCACTTCCTTGATTTGGGAAAACAATTTTAGGTACCTTCCAACCTGCTGCAATCTGCTTTCTTCTTTAAAATTCAGCACCAAATAAATGCTTTCCTGTCAGTTATGTCAGGCAAGATTCTGTGTGAGAACAGGGGAATAGCTGTTCTGCAAAGAAAAGGGATTCTGCTGGCAAGTCTTGCTGCCTCCTGGTTCTGATGGCCACTGCTAAGAAGTGATTCTTTAGCAGTTGTTGATTCTTACAGCCTGTTCATCCAAAATGTTGAAAAATAGCAGTTGAAGTGGTTAAGTCGACCTATTGAAATAGGAACATGTCTGTGGATTCATCAAATAATGTAACTTTTTTGGGTCCTGTATAATCCTTGATGAATCAAACCTTACAGCTTCAATGGAAAAGCTGGTCCTTAATTTCCAGGGGAGAGAGCTGAAGCCAAAAGGAAGTTTTGGGCCACCTGGGACCAGAACACAAACCCCATGGTTGTCTACAAGAGTGGCCTTTTTCTAACTGCCTTGAGGTTCTTTGCTACTTTAGTTTTCTGTGCTTACATTTATTTTATGTGTTACAATGCAGTAGATAACAGGTTGTTTTCTGGTGTGTTTTGCAGGGTTTCTGGAGGAGAACTTTTTGACTTCCTGGCACAGAAGGAGTCTTTGAGTGAAGAGGAAGCAACCAGGTTCATCAAGCAGATTTTGGATGGTGTGAATTACCTTCACTCTAAGAAAATTGCTCATTTTGATTTAAAGGTAAAGATGCTGTTTTAGACTTTAGCTGATTTCTAGTTGCTAGTTTTGGTATTTAGTGCCAGTAAGGTCAGGTGGTCACTGAAGATGTTGCAAGATATGCAAGATAGAAATCAGAAAACATAAGTAAAGAATCATTTCACTGGTAGTGGATATTAAATGACCTAAAATGTATTCACATAATAACTCTCCTGGGTTTTAAAGGACTGGGTTTGGAGCTTTGTAGTGTTAAATAAGACGTGTTTTTAAGCAGTGATCTGATTAGACAGAGGATGATTCATCATTATCTCCTCACTTGACAGGGCTCCATCAGCTGCAGTGCCTTATACCACCTAAGGAATCAACCAGTCCCAGAGGTGTGACTGTGACTTTTTGCCATTTCAGTCTGTTCTGGCTGCTTTAAGAACTTTACATCCTGTATCTGTGGTGAACACATGTGCCCTAGATCCATGGAAGAAAAACTGACTTGTTAGCCTGAGGCTAAAACATTCTTGGTCTAAGATTATGATAATAAATTATTCATATGTTCTCTTTCCCAGTGTGGCTCTGACTGAGAATATGTGTTAGCAGGAGCAGTTTCCATGTTGGGATCTGCTGTGGAAAGGCCAGCAGGGAATCAAACTCTCTCACTCTTGCTCTTGAGCTTATGGTTAAGTTCTGACAAATTAATGCATTAAAGCTCTTCATGGGAGATAAATTGAACCCAGAGTTTACTCTGAAACCTGTGAATTGGGGCCATGGAGGGGAGCAGATAAGGCTGAGAAACTTAGTTCAGGAAAGAAGTGTATGACATTTCCCTTAAATCTGGTAAAAGAGGAAAGTCTGTGGTTGAACATGATACTTTTAATTTCACAGTTCCAGCTCCAGATTTTCCTGCAATGCTGTGAGGAATGCCACATGTTCTTTTAATAGCTTGCTATCATATGGTCTAGGACCTCTGATCCCAACTCTACCCATTTTCAGCTGGTAAATCCCAGATCTTCCTGGCCTTGTTGCAGCTGTGGATTGTCTCATAGAGAAGATCATTTTCTCCTTCCCTAAATAGGTTCAGATGTGACTAGAATCCCTCAAGAAATATTTAATAAAGCTTCTCCCAGTGGCTTGCAGTACAGTATAGAGTCAACTGGGCAGATGTTATGAAATATAAAAACCCTTCATCAAAACCATTGTAAATGGTTAGGCACAGGTATGTGTTTCTTGTTCTACAGTGTTGTGTTTGCAAAGGGAAAAAAAAAAGGCACTTGAAAACTCTGTTGCTTTCCAAGATGTTAATATTTTAATAACATAGATCTGTCTTTTATTTTTAGCCTGAAAACATTATGCTTCTAGACAAGAATATCCCTATTCCACACATCAAACTCATTGACTTTGGCCTGGCTCACAAAATCGAAGATGGAGTTGAATTTAAAAACATTTTTGGAACTCCAGAATTTGTAGGTGAGTGACATGTTCCTTTGTCTTGTATTACAGGTTCCATGAGGAAGTTGAGACATCTCATTTCTATCAAGGTGACTTAAATCTAGAGGTTTGCTTTATTTTTCTGGGATAGGTGAGAGGTGCTTTCTATAAACTGGATGTGCTACTCCTGTGAGAGTAAACTGCTGCCAAATAAATGCTTAGTGATGTAAATTCAGGATCGAGATTGTGAAACTCTGCAAATACAAATTATAATTTCTTCCCTTTGGTGCCTGGAGTAAGTAGATCTCCCTGTGTTGTGGTGTGTGAGTACACAGTGACATGGGTACCTCTGTCATTGCTTTCTAGATTAAAATGCCTCACACTGTTCACCTGTTGAGCACAAACCCCTCAACTCCTTCACATTTTACCACCTGATTCTCTTCTTGTTCCTCACTGATCACAGTTATTATCTGTCTCACTTTGATTTTGGGTTAATCCTACTTCTTTCTCCTAGTTTCAATTAGAGGCTTTGGGGTTGGTTTGGGGAGTGAGGAGAGAATTGTAATTAATGTTCCAGTTAAACACAGCTGTTACAGATCCCTTTTTTCATCTTCTTTACCCCTTACTCTTTTCTCCTGCTTGCAATCTTGTGTGAGGATGTTTTCCAATGAGGAAATGTTTCCTATAAAACAGAGTTTGACATGGATAGCAAAGTAGTCTGGCAAGTCATTTCAAACTCTTGCTCAAGAGCTCTTTCTGACTGGCCTTTACAAACTTCCTATAATGGCACCAGTTAAACACAAAACAAAAGCTCCAATTCTCGAGGGCAATAATGTTCTTGGGAGGTGAAATAATTTGTTATTTTTTGTAATTTGCACTGTAATTAGTGTATAATATCTGCTTTACCCTTACTGTTGAGTTGCACTAAGCTTTAAGTTACCCTACATAATCTCTTCTGGACAGCTGTGAACTTAAACTCCTGTTTGGGGTATAAAATTACAAACAATGCATCCTATAACTAACTTTTCTCTCTCTCCCCCTGTTTCTCCCTCTTGGTAATTCTTGTCCTGCTACTCCAGCCTGGTAAAGACACATTATTTCACTGCTGATGTTTAATTAAATGTTTCTTACAGCTCCAGAAATCGTAAACTATGAACCACTTGGATTAGCTGCAGACATGTGGTAAGTTTTTTAGAATGTTAGTACTTTTTTTTCCAGGTTGCTTTACAATTACTTTTTCCTTTTTGGCTCTGAGCAGAATCCATTGCACTGCCACAAAGTAAAACAAAAAACTTAAATACAGCTAATTACTCTATGTTCTGTCATGTCATTTTTATGCATCCTTTTAAATTATAAGATAAGCATTTAATTTCTGCAAAATTACAATGAAAAGCTCGAGTGCTGGCAGTTATAGAGTTAAGTGCTTGCCACTGTCCACTGCAGGGGAGCACTCTTAGAAGAAAACAGTGCAAGCAGTGACTGCTTTTGATAGCTTTATTTCTAAGAGCACTTCGTGCAGAGGAGACCTGTGCACTGATTTCATCTGCTGAGAAGGCAGGCAAATGAGGTCACCCCAAATAAAACATCCTTTGCCTTTCTGATGTGTGCTGTAGTACCCACTAGAGCAGAAATACATGGAGACTCCAGATACCCACATTACTTACTCTTACATGTAAAATTAATTCTTTCCCTGGAACACTGTTCTGTAAAAGAGATGTCAGCAGTTACCTAAGGCCACAGTGGCTCTCCTGCCTGTACTGCAGCTGCTAATTCACTTTTTCATATTCTGTACATTAGGAAGAACACAGGTCATGTATAACCCTTGCCATTGTTCTCCTTTGTTTTTTAGGAGCATTGGAGTCATCACCTACATCCTGTGAGTACAACAGCTTCGCCCCAGTACAAGTGTTCCTGCAGCTCTCTTGCATTAGTACAGGACAGCTCTGCCTGCAGTCACCTGAGGACAGACCTGCACACAGGGGGTGGGCAGTGCTTTGTCTCACAGTGTTGCCCTGCAGCCTTTTCAAGCTGAAAATAAGGGCTAAAATTAGGGGGCACTCTGAGCAAACTGAGAGCAAATGGCCCCTGACACCACTGGGCACTTCTGCTTCCCTTGGGACCTCATCAGCTCCAAATGGCAGAGGATGGAAAAGCCAAGCATATCCATTGCTGGTGGAATGACTGAGCTACCAGCATGTGGAGAGCATAGAAAGGGTAACAGCACCCCTTCCAAGGTGTGTCGTTTCGGGTGGAAACGGGGAGGTTTCAGTTTGCTTGTAAAGGCAGCAGAAGTCTAGATTATTATGCATAAATATGGTCGCCCATGTTCAATTTAAGCTGGAAAAGGAGCAGAAAAGTTGACCCTGGGAACTGAGAATTCAACTTACAGGGCAAAAAAAAGGGTTTGTTGAAGCTGGTAAAGCAAAGGCTGTTTGGGGATAGCATTATAGTCAATAAGCACAGGGGGAAAAGTAGATCACAGAATGCTTTTTAGGCACAGATACTCTTTAGAAGAAAAGTGTGCCAACTGGTGATGAATAAATAAAAGGAGGAAATTCTGACAAGCTCAGGCTCTCAGAGAAATGAGTTTGTGTGGGCATCTGGGGACAAGCAGGGAAGAGTTTTAAGATGGAACTTAACAATTTGGGGAACTGCTTGTGTGACAATGGGTGTGACCGAGGGACAGCACTCCTTGCTTGTCCTCTGGTTTGATATGGGAATTGCAGAAGTGGGCAGTGGTCCTTGGACTAACTGCTCCCACTGAAATCAAGCTCCTGTGAGTCCTGGGGAGCAGCACATGGTGGATATTCTATGCTGGGAAATGTCTCACCCTGGGCTCAGCTGTTCCCTGTGATACTCAGAGGACTAACCTGCTGCCAAGCTCAAAAAAGGGGGCTCTGGCATTGGGTGGATTTGCACTGCACAGCTTGGGGCTCAGGACAAGTTTGGAGGCCTGAAGGGGAGGGATTGTCTTTTCAGTGTGGAAAATAAATGTAGTGGAATTAAATCCACTCTTCAGCTATACCAAAGGCTTAGACCTTGAAAGCTGTAAGGGGTATGGGCTGAGAAACCTGACTCAGTGCAACAAATTCCCTCTGTCCTGCAGTGCACAAAAAGGGAGGGAAGCTGGCTGAGCCCAAGCTCAGGGAAAGGGGTTTGAAATGTTGTCCAGATCCTTGTTTTTTATGAGCATTCTGGTCTCCAGTGACACACCTGTACTTGCCAGGGCATTAAACTGTGTAAATTCTATTTATGGGTGTCCATATATGATGAGAGGAGAACTTAGGAGTTGAGGATAAGCAGGTGGGAATGCTTGGCATGCCATGAGTGATGCACAGAGCCAGCTGCTCTGGGGGTCCTTCAGTGGCATTGAGGGCTCTGTGCTGGGGCAGAGTTACAGGGGGAGTTTCTGTGCTGCACCCAGGGGAGGAGATGTTTTACCTGCTTGACTGGTTGTCATGGCCGTGGGGATTAAGGTAGAAAAATGTCTCCCTACAAATGATCAGCAATAAAGAACATGCTTTGTATCATGGGAGGGGGCAGCTTGCACCATAAGCTGTGGACTAGGAATTTGCTTGCCTTCAACTATGTGACTGAACCTGGGGGTTCTGATTGGCAGGAAGCTGAACATGAGCCCAGGTGTGCCCAGGTGGGCAAGAAGGCCAATGGATCCTGGCCTGGCTCAGGAACAGTGTGGCAGCAGGAACAGGGCAGTGATTCTGCCCCTGGACTCAGCGCTGGTGAGGCCACCCCTGGAGTGCTGTGTCCAGTTCTGGGCCCCTCAGCTCAGGAAGGACATTGAGGGGCTGGAGCAGGTCCAGAGAAGGGAACAGAGCTGGGGAAGGGTCTGGAGCACAGGTGCTGTGAGGAGAGGCTGAGGGAGCTGGGGAAGCTCAGCCTGGAGGAGGCTCAGGGGAGACCTCCTCACTCTCTGCAGCTCCCTGCCAGGAGGGGGGAGCCAGGTGGGGTTGGGCTCTGCCCCCAGGGAACCAGCAGTAGGACAAGAGGGCACATCCTTGAGCTCTGCCAGGGGATGTTTAGGTTGGACATTAGGAACAAATTTTTTACCAAGAGAGTGATTGTGCATTGGAATGGGCTGCCAAGGAGGTGGGGTCACCATCTCTGAAGATGTTTAAGAAGAGCCTGGATGTGGCATCAGTGCCATGGTCCAGTTGACAAGGTGATGTTGGGTCAAAGGTTGGACTCGATGATCTCAGAGGTCTTTTCCAACCTGATTGATTCTGTGATTCTGTAACTACTATTGCCTGTTAATTTGAAAGCCTTTTGTTCTGAATTGTTCTGAATAAGCAGGGTGTATTTATGATCCTGCTGTAGCACACGTGGCAGCAATCAAATGGGTGCCATCATCAGGTGTAGAGACCAAAATGCAGACGAGCCCTCAGTTCAGTGACCAGTGGAGTGATTCACTGGGCTTTAGTGCTGAGGTCTGCCTGCTGTTACATGTTTACAGGCTGTGAGTCAGGATATGACAAAAGTCATTTGCATTAGATATTAGAATTTGGGAATGCTCTGCTTTTACAGACCTCCAAAACTGGGTCCCAAAGAGCAAAAAAAATCAGAATAGAGAGAGCACTGCTGGCTTGGGCTTCCAGCAAGAGGCCAGAAGGTGGAATTACAGCTACTTCACAGCGCAGTTTGGGGAGAGGGCAAAGAAAACAAGGCTCTAGACTAGCTTTCCAAGCTTTAGTTTTGGAACAATGCCCATGGTCTGTGGTGAGGTGCCTGCTTGTAGCCTTCTTTGTGGGCAGCAGAAGTGGAACAAAAACCTAAGAGGGAGTATGTAAAACCTTAATTAAGAAATGAGAGTGACTGTGGTTAATGGCAGGAAAGTCACTTCATCGGAGACAGCTGGAGCACCTCACTGGTGCTGCCTTGCTGTGGCAGATGCTTTGGTGTCATTGTGCAATTGTAGAGAGAGAGAAAGCAGGTTATGCACTCAAATGTTTTATTCTCTGGGTAAAACCACATGTGGTAGCTGGGGATTGGTCTAAAAGGCCAGGTGGTGCCATCCAACTTTCTGCTTGCCCCCCAAAATTCCCAGCCAACATGGTAGTGGCAGTGCAGAGTAAAAGGTCTATTGAGCATGTAAACAAGTGGTTTAGTACTCAAAAGTTCAATTTAGAGTTTGCTGCAGTCCTCTTTTGAGCCTGCTGCATCCTGAAACTGTGCTGTCAAAGCTGGACATAATAGATAAGCACAATAATAGCCCAGAAGATGATAAAAAAGGGATGAGATCAAATTCCTTGGTATAAATAGCATTTCCTGTAAACCAGAGTTTTGCAAGTCATTATCCCTGTGTATTGGGGAGGGAGGAACCTGGAGGAGAGGCAGAGCAGGAGGAGTCTGCAGTGACTCTCCTCTGACACTCAACTTTCATGGAGCAATGGTAAATAGAGTCATCAAAGATGAAGATCAACCCTGTCAGCTCATGGATAGTCCAAGCAGGAGGAAAGCTTTCTTTCCAGTAAGGACTGCTAAATGGCATTTTATTATGATGGTGTCTCCATTATATCCTTGCAGCTGGAGCAGGGTGCCGACAGACTGAACATTTGTGTTGTTCAGAAACTGTTGGATTTCATTGCAGCCAAAGTCCATTTGTCTGTGGATTCCTTTCACTGAGCAGCATGGCCCTAGCTCTGCAGTGGAGCTGGGCCTAGGCAAGGCTTCTGATCACACACTGTGTTTTGGAGCCAGCTGAGAGAGATCTCTTGGCTGAACCTGGTGTGCAGGGAACCTGTGGGCAGGACAAGTAGGGGCAGAGCTTTTCCTACCTGAAGAAAATCTACAGAAACACTACTTTATCTGAAGGTGATAGAAGCTTCAGTCTCAGGGATAGAGACTGTCCTCAACTGAAGGCTCTTCTAGTTTTGTTAGCAATGACTTAAATGAGGCACTTAGGAGAGGGGAATGTGTGCAATATGTCTGTGTGCACCCATTAGTGCTGCACTAGAGACTTCCAGGGTGAGTCTGGCTCATAGCCACAGATGTGGTGGGCCAAAGCTGGCCCTGTTGTTTCCCACACCAGAGCCACAAATGTCCTAAGAGTATTTTACACAGTCACTGTCACTTCACCAGGGGTCTTGCGCTGTTTGTTTTTCCAACTGATTCTTCCTTGTGGCTTATCCAGGCTTAGTGGTGCATCACCTTTCCTTGGAGAAACTAAACAAGAAACGCTTGCCAACATCACAGCTGTGAATTACGATTTTGATGAAGAGTTTTTCAGCAATACCAGTGACCTGGCCAAAGATTTTATTCAGAAACTTCTGGTGAAAGATACACGGTAAGGAAAAAATCCAGAAAGATCCATTTGTCTCTCAAGATAAACCTGGTGAAACGTAGCCTGATGAGGTGTGTGCAGAGCTTTCCTTGCAGTTGCATTGCCATTCCAGAGCAAGGCAGGGGGTGCTGCCCCTAGTTAATCACTGCCCCAGAAGCTCTAAGGAACCAAATCTCCTCAGTTAAATTTCATGTTCAGGACTGAATTCTCACCTGAGCCAAGCTGGTACAACAGGGTGTGGCTGAAGGGCTGAAAATGGTGTGCAGAACCTTGAGTTCAGGGTAACTCCCACTCCACTGTTTCAGTCTATTATGAACTACTTACAAGGAGGTGATACCATCCCAGAATATGCCCCCAGTGGTGCCATGCCAGAAAAATCTTTACATGTGCTGATATGGAATTGCTCTAAGTCTCTCTGCAGTCACCCAGAGTTTGTGTGACAGCTCTGCAGATCTTTATTCCCGGTTCATAGGAACCACAGACTTCCTGCTTTTAATAAAGCTCATGCAGGAGTAGCATCTCCTTCCCTGTAACTTTGTCCTGGAGGGAAGTCAGACCACTGTGATTCTTTCTAGTGGCTTCAGTGGGGGAGGAAACAGGTATGAGAGGGCTGTTCAGTCAAGATTTCTGCAAATCATCAGGCCTCAGAGTGGGGAGAGCTAGCTGGGGTTTGAGAGGTTTGCACAGGTCCTGCAGCCTCTTTTTAAGAAAGGAGAAGTCAGTGATAATACTTGTCCCACATCCCTGTGCAACACTGTGTTTCTCTCTTTGATTCTCAGTGCTCTTAATGTGCTGTTCACCAAACTGCCACAATGCAGGAGGAAGTTAGAATTGATCAAGTTTGATTAGGTTTAAGTATTGCTCTCAGAAATGTTGCTTTCAGGAAACAGCAGTTCCTGCAGTGCTGTAATCCTGTTCCAAAGGACAGCTTTGATGCAATTACTGTTGTATCAAAGACACACTTGTATCAAAGGTGTACAGCAAGAACTTATTCTAAGCATGTCAGATGAACAAAACAGATATTGTGTTACTTTGTATGGAAGGGTGCACAAAAATACAGGTAGGTTTTGATGAAGTAAGAATTAAAATCGTGTGGAGTGAGGCCAGTTACCCACTGAAGTTCAGAACAGTAACTAAACTACACAGAAGCAGCAGGCTCAGGGAGTAACAACCCTGACATTTGAGAGTTGGTCCTGGCATTATCCTGATAAATGCTTCATAGGAAGCCTGGGAGAAGGGTGGGTCAATGGACTCGTGTACCAGGAATTTCTCATTCAAGTCTGTGGGGGTTTTGTGTTGATGTTTTTTAGGAAGAGGCTTACGATTCAGGAAGCTCTGTCTCATCCCTGGATAACGGTAAGACTGCATAAACAAACAGACCCTGGTTTTTGCTATGAGCAAAGCAGGGATCATATTCTCACTCTTAGTGGTGTGTTACATGGAAAACTGCCCCCTAAGTGCTTAGTGATCCTGGGTGTCTCAAAGAGATCTACTGGGAACAAATTGGCTGGGTCTGACTAAATCCCTGGATTTCTGCAAATGACTTCTTTTATCAGCATAACTTTCAAAAAGAGGGTGACCAAGCTCTGATCTTTATTGCACATTACAGCCTCCCAAATTGGACTGGGCTTTGCATTTTTCCATCCTTTTTCTCTATTTGCATGGACACATGTGTTGAGTTCAGTGTTTTCTTGAATTGAGAGTTGACTGCTAGTCAGTGTGGAAAATGGATTTCTCTCAAGAGATAACTGCTGTGTACCACGTGTGCTGATGTGCTTACATTTTGTGTGTCCATACGTATTTTTCATCATAAACATTGCCTGCTTGTGTGGATAAGTCTCTTATTGAAAATACATTTAGCTAATCTCAGCATGACTAATGAGGATTTTTGAAGTTCAGTTTTTGCTTTGCGTTGCACAAAACGTTAATTGGAGTTTTTCCTCTCACAAGTATCCACAGCTTGAGACTATTAACTGCTAAAAATTAACATGAAAATAAGTTGCAGCTGCATTATTTGCTCTTATCACACTGGAATGAATGCACATCACTTGTCACATTTGTTTTTGGGCTCGTGTGTTTGGTGTCTTTTTTCTTTTACTCATATGCATGAAGGCAAGCCTGTGTGAGCAAAGGATCTCCCAACACTGTGGAAGTCCAGGCTGCATCCTCTGTGTGCTGATTTTGAGTTCCTGCCCTGTCTTGTGAGCGCTCAGTAACACTGGTTCCTCTGTCTGGTGACTCGCCAGCTGAAAGAAGAAACCAAAGTGCAGGAGCCCAAGAAGGTTGGGAGCACCCAGCTGAAGACGAAGCGGCTGAGGGAGTACACCATCAAGTGCCACTCGAGCATGCCCCCCAACAACACCTACATCAACTTCGAGCGCTTCGCCCGCGTCGTCGAGGACATTTCCCGCACGGAGCGCGGCTGCGGCACCTTGGCCGCGTCCCGGGACTCCCTGCAGGAGGACGTCGACGCTCTGCTGTCCATCTATAACGAGAAGGAAGCTTGGTACAAAGAGGAGAACGAGAGCGTGCGGCACAAGCTGTCCCAGCTGAAGTACGAGTGCCGGAAGATCGAGTCCCTGAGGAGGCATTTGCAGGAGGACATCAAGGCCGTGGACACCAGTCTGGCAGGCGTAGCTGGGAAATACACTGGTCTGCAGGGCCAGTATGAATCCCTCAGGCAGGAACTTTCTGAGGAACTCAAGTGGATACAGGATTTAATGAGCAGTTTTCAACTGGAAAATGAAGTCTGTGCGAACAGAAACTTCGACTCTGTTTTCAGCAAAGATGTTAACGAATCCCTGATGGAGCTGCTGAACAGATCTCGCTGTGAAGAATTCCTTGCAGGGTTGAACCTTGGTGTAGCAGAATCCCATCAGTGATGCTGAGATCAGGCTAGGGGCAGGGTTTGCTGCCTCTTTCCAGTACATCAGTTTAAAAAGGTCCCAATGTACAGATTCTCCCCAAAAACATCACCTAGAGTTAAAGTAGAAGTTCTGAGGTATTGCACAAGGTGCTGACCAAAGCCATAATCTCCCAGTGCTTTGTAGTGTTGAAGGTTTTTTTTCTGTGTGGTTTTTTTTTTTTTTTTAGAGTGTCTGAACTTGCAGGAACAAGGTTCTCACAGTGGTATGGACATATCTAAACCTACAGCCTTTTGTATTGCCTATATCATAGTGCATTGTGTATTACAGTTGCTGAAGGTACTAAGTTATCAACTTGGAATAAGGAATAAGTCAGCCTGTACTTACTAGAAACTGGGTGCCTGGAAACTAATGCAAATCTCATTATAGTACCTTTGGTTGGCTGAAGGAAACAGTGCAGGCAGTCCTACAGACCACATGAGAGAAATATTTGCAAAGGTTAACTCTGTCCTGTAAAACAAAGTAAACAGTGTAGTAATTTAACATTTAGCCAGTACTGTGGAAATTCTCTGTGAAATTGCTGCCAGTGAAGAAAAGGATTATTTTAAAGCCAGTTGTGCAGGGTGAAGTCTTTTACCATCAGAGGTGTTACCTGAATTTGAAACTAAAGGATTTAGTTATCTGTCCTATACCAAAGAAATCCTATTCCAAAGACACCACTGGGAACTTGTAATGAACAAATAACTGCAGTTTTACAGTGCAAATGTTAATATGTGACTGAGAAGTGATATCATAGTCCTCTAGTTTGTTTTCTACAGTGAAGAAGATGACAAACTACAACTAACTTAATCTGTGGTGTGGGGTTTGAGAGTAGTGCTCTTGCTGTAAAGATTTTTTTTTCCCTTAAGCTTTATAAAGTAAAAGAAAAGTTGACCCAAACTTGAATCCTGCCCTGCTGTCTTGTGTTCAAAGAACCCATTTGGTCATACTGTACCAACCTGCACAGGTGTTCCCATCCCATTTTTGAACTCAGTAAATAGTTATTTATGCAGGGTGCCATTGTTCCCTGCAGGTTAGTTAGAGACTGAAGATGTCAGGCTGCTGTGTGCTGTGGGCATTTGCTGCAAGGTGACTTTGTGCAGCTGCAAGAATCAGTGAGATAGTAGCTGATGTCCATCTAGAGTGGATCTTATATGTATAAAGTATGTCTTTCACTGCCCCTCCTCCCTTCTCCTTTTGCAGAGGAGTTAATGACCTAAATAAATGGAATTGTTGTTGTTCCTAACATGATTAAGAAGAATGTTTCTTACTTTGTGAGGACATGGCAGCAGGGGGGCCACTGTACTCTGCAGAAATTGGAGGAGAGAATGCTTTTATCTTTTTATCTCAAAGATGTGCAGAGGCTGGTGGGAATTCAGGGTTCTGAAAGCAGTTGTTCAGCTGGGGGATTGTTGCTCCCGTCACCGTACTCGGAGGAGGATGGAAACTGGACGTGCTCCCTGTGGCCTCGTTCTTGGCACGAGATGTAAAATTCTCAAAAGCTTCCAAGTCCTATGGGCAGCCAGGAGATGACCCTGGCAAGCTGGTGTTGGTGGCTGGGGAGAACTGGGCTCTGTTGTGACAAATAGCACTGAGAGTTTTGTGTGTGTCCATTTTTTATGGTCTCCAGATGCTTCAGTCGTCACTTCTGCAGGTTCCTTTGGTTGGAAGATCCACTGGACGCTATCCAGGGAAACCAGAACACAGGATTCTTTTACGAGGGGGAGAGTTTTAATTCTTAAAATGTAACTTGAAGCCTAGTGAGAGTTTGTATTTGCAGAAAAGCCTCTCAAGAGCGAGAGTCTGCCCTCCCTCAGCCATGATCTCATGTTGTTTGTTCACACAGATTTTCTGTATGAACAAATGCACAATGAGAAGGACCATCAAATGGTCCACTTTGGGTGAGGGTAATGTTGTTGTGACTTGTCCTGGAGGCTGGTTGACACAGTGCTTTTGAGATGTTCTGATGTGAGACAGTGACAAGGTCCCTGGTTTGCAGGGTATGTAAAAGGAGGGGCATTATACACAGGCTGGGGTAGAGTGAGCTGTTCAGTCAGCCACGGTTCTGCTGTGGAAAGGGCACTGGGACATTTGTCATGGTGATTGTACAGCTGACATTTAGCCAGTGACATTTTTTCCAATTCAAATTGATTCCTGCCAGCCTGTTGCACCGTGCTAGCCACTTGCAGCACGAGGAAATGGTATTTAGTGCTTCACTGCCCCAGTTCTGTTGTGTCAGATGGTGCATCACATCTGAATGAGAAGGGGCCAGCTGATGGTTGGCTCCTTGAACTACTGCTGAGATACTGCACAGCTGCTAAACCTGCGGCAGCTGATGAGAAAAGGGCATTTGTAGTCACAAACATTTTCAATTATGTTGCTGAAAAAGATGTTTAAATCATCACTGACGTGTCTTCCTTTCTCCTTTGGTCCTCTTACTGCTCCAGGTGCATGGCTTGGTTGCATTCCAGTCCAGTACAAATATTTCTGTTATCCCCCTCCTGCATATGCAGATCAGAACAGCTGGAATGAGCTGTGAAGGGTTCATACCTGGTCTTTCACTTTTGCCAGATCTGGGTTTGAACCCTTCCTCCCCTCAATCTGTTAGATACAGTTCTCTGGTTTATGCAAATTTTGATGTGCTTTTGAAGTGGAATGTGCTTAATTTTCTGAAGGACTGTGTGTCAAGATTTGTGGAACATCTGTTCCTTAACACCAGACTGAAATCCCCAAATGCTGGGCACATCTGAATTCTGATAGATATTCTTTCTTATCCTTGTTTGCCATAGTCAGGTATTGCAATTCTTTCCTTACATATTTACTGCCAGGGTATCAGTCTTGTGCTCTCATACTCGGGTGTGGTTGAAGGACAAAGCCAGTTTTTTCAGACAGCATGTATCCCTGTCACCAACACCAAATGACAGCCAACTTTTTCCCATGTTACTATAGTGTTGTCATCCAGAAAAAATGCAGGTGGGGCAGATGTGCACTGAGAATCAGCTTGGCAACTTTACTAAAGTGAAAGCAATCCTTAGCACCCTCTAGTTTTAGGATTTTTTTCTGAGATCAAAGGAGTCCTCTCCAGGCACAAGGTGGACTGGATTGAATTATTTTTCTTCTGCTTTTCCCTGTATGAACCCACAGCCTCCCCAGCCAGCACTCTTCAGCCAGCTCCAGTGCACGTGGGCAATTGTACCTATTTTATGCACCAAAGGGAGCCAGACAATTAAATTGCTCTTTTATCTTCCAGCCCATGGACAAGCAACAGGCTTTGGTTCGGAAATCATCTGTTGTTAACATGGAAAACTTCAAAAGGCAATATGCCAGGAGGCGGTGGAAGGTAAGGCAGGGAGCCTTTAACCCTCCTCACGTGGGGCTTCCCAAACCCGGTGGGATCAGAGGGCAGGACAGGGCTTGAGTGTAAAATTGTAGCAGGCAGCAGATAATGAGGTGTTTGGATGTGTCTGTGTGGACATGTGTGGTCAAACTGCCCCTCTTCCCTCTCTCCACAGCTTTCCTACCGCATCGTCTCGCTGTGCAACCACTTGTCCCGTTCCCTGGTGAAAAGGGTCCTGATGCAGGAGGAGAGTTTGGTAGGTGCATTTCCTAAAGGGGAAGAGGAGAAGAACCAGCTTTCCTGTGCAGTGATTTTTGCTGTCCTTACCTGGATGCACAGCGGCTTCGAGTGGGAACCCAGATGGGACCATGGCATCCTCTGTGTGTCTTTAATGGGCTGTACATGGTGTTACTGTGACAGGAATGTTGTGCAGGGAGAGCTGGTGACTCCATAAACCTTTGAGGTGCTGCCCACATTTACTGTGCAAAGGAGCAGCAGCTGATGTTCGGATCCCATGGCAGTGACCCTGCTGGCTGAGATACGAGCAGTCCTGGAGGGAACTTGCTGCTGCTCTTGTGCCCAGCTGCGTGTCATGGAGGGTGGGGGACCCCAGAAGTGCCTGTGACCTTCTGGAATGCAGCTGTGAGGGTCCTGTTGGTTCTGCTTTCCTCCACAGATGATGCACTGATGATACCAGAGCACCATGTGGAGCAGGATGGTATCTCATTTATGTGCCTGAGACATTGTGGCCTTTCTGTTTCAGAGGAACTGTGAGAGTGACAGTGAGGATCTTTCCCAAAGAGAAGTTCCTCCTCAGAGGAGAAGCAGTATATCCTAATGTGAAGAGAATTCCACGGGCAGGAGACACAGGAGACTTCCATCCCTGCTGAAGCAAGCAGCCCTGGCAGCAGACCTTGACTTATCTGAGTCATTGGTGTGATGCTTCTTGCTTCTCAAACAGCACCAACAGCTGGGTGATGGTATTAAATGTCTGCTGAGCATCTTGGAAAACTGGGAAGCGAGATTCCCAGGGAAATGCCACAGCACAAGCACCAGCTGGAGTGCTTTGAGTGTTTCAGTGATACTTCAATCTGTTTGTGATGTCGGCTGCACTCAGGGTGTTGGGTTTCTACTGATATTCCTTTCCTGGAGAATAATTCCCGTCCTGCACAGTGGTGAAGACTTTGTGCATTATTACTGTTTCAGTCAGGGAAATTGTTAGTGAGTTGTCAGGACATTTTGTAATGCAATTTTGGTATTTGTTAATAGCGTGGATATGTGATGGCAGATCTCTGCCAGGTTTTGTTGGCTGTGTGCAGGGCTCTGTCACTGCTGTCACTGAGGAGGAAATCCTGATATCATTGCACATCTTTGATTTTGGCAACAGTTCTGCACTGCAACAAGGACTGTGCTCTGGCTGAGGGCTAACACGACCAGTTGTGAGTACAATTAGTTGAGGCCACTGAGAGGATGACACAGGCCCAGGCAATTTTCGGATGAAAAAGAGAAAAAATGCTGTAGTGATTTACATGCACCCAAATCCAGTGTTTTTACAGGATGATGGCAGGATATTCACCAAAACAGGGCCTTTAAGAACCCCAGGTATTTGAAGAAATAGTCTCTGTTGGACTTTGTTATTGTTGTCAATGTTATTTATTGTCAGCAAATTGGAGATGGGTTAACACCTATTTGTGCAGGTGCTATTTACATGTAACCCAGACAGCAAACATCTGCTTTTTATTCAGGGGGTTGTATCCAAAACTGAGGAAGTGAGCACTTTGATACTGATGTAACATCTTTGCACTGGGAAGTTGCATCATTTTAACTATTATTAGTTTCTAAGCCAGTATTGTTCGATTGGTACCAAAAAAATGTGTATAGAATAGGTTATTTTTTTCATTGAATGTATTTGTTGTTAGAAATTCGTATTTATTTTGCCATTTAATAAATTAAAAATCAGAAACCCTATTAGAAACAACTATGGATGGACAAGGAAACTGTTTTTGTTTGGCTTTATGTTGGTCACTTCTAGGCTGAGGTTTTAGAGCAGAAGGTGTGAACTGGTGTTGAAAATTAGTGTCAGGTGGTTTCCAGTTTCTGAGAAATAAATAAAAATATGCTACTTTTATTTATAACTTTGTATCCCTGCCTAGGTAGTGACTAAAATGCAGTTGATAAGAAAGTATTTCTGTGAAAGGAAGGGAATGTAGGAGAAGCATTGGAGGAGAGAGGCAGAAAGGAGGATTTGATGGAAGAAACATAAAATGAAGGAGGTGGTGGGAGGAAAAAAAGCAGTGGGGGGAGGAAGGAGTGTGAGAGGGACACGTAGGGAGTGAAGGTGATCCTGGACTGGGAAGGTGAAGGAAGGGAAAGAGAATGTGGGTGCAGGAATTGTGGAAGCAGGAGAGTGGATGTTTCTGCCAGTATGGCACTGCATTTTGCTACTATTTATTTAATTTCCTTTTATTTCATGTCTTGTGCTGCCACTTAGCCTGTGAGATGTGCCTGCTCAAGGGATAAGGGGCAGTGCATGGGCTTCTCTTCACATTTAAAAGATGTATTTATGAGCTTTCTGTGTAATTCTTGAGGCAGAATCCTCAAAAAGTGCTGTGTTAAGAGGGAGCAATAACAGGAAAACCTGTTGTTTCAGTGTGTCCTGGTTTCAGCTGGGATAGAGTTGATTTTATTGTTAGTAGCTGGTATAGGGCTGTGTTTTGGGTTCAGCAGGAGGGTATGTTGATCACACTGATGTTTTAGGGGTTGTTCTGTAGTGTTTCCCCAAGTGAAGGACTTTGCAGTTTCTCAGGCTCTGCCAGTGAGGAGCTGCACAAGAACCTGGGAGGGAGCATGGCCAGGACAGCTGACCTCAATGGTCACATTCCAAAGGGACATTCCAGACCATGGAATGGTGCTCAGTGTAGGAGCTGGGGGAGCTGGCTGGGACACAGGTCACTGCTCAGGCTGTGCCAGGCGTTGGGCAGTGGGTGGTGAGCAGTTGTAATGGCATCACTTGTCTTCCTTGGGTGTTACTGCTCTCTCTTTTCCTTTTCATTATTGTTAATTATTGTTATTATTATTATTATTATATTTTGCTTTAGCTCAGTGATAAAACTGTTCTTATCTCAAAGTAACCCACGAGGTTTAATTCCCAGTCCTCCTCCCCTCCAGGACGGGGGGCAGTGAGTGAGTGGCTGTGTTGGGGCCTCGTTGCTGGTTGGGGTTAAACCACAACACGGTGTCTGGAGGGCACCTTTCACAAAGAGAACACTACAAATATAAAACCTGTCCAGCAAATTTTGCCTCCTGCTTTGCCTGGGATGTGGAAAATTGAGTAAACTCCAAGCCAGTGGTGTTTTTCTGAATTTCTGGAGTTTCAGAAGCACCTTCCGTTCCCAAATTAGAGATTGTGGGATGTGTAGGTAAATTGCACTTCTGCAAATGAAGCCCTGGTTAAAATAGCTGTTGGGTTTGGGTCAGGGCTGTGCTCTCATGGAGGTGAGGTCATTGTTCTCCTGTGAAATCCTGGCAACTACTGAGCCAGATGGGGAGTAGGGGAAGGCCAGACAGGGCAGTGCAAGGCCATGTGAAGCTCTGGCTTATTATTTGTACATTAATAAAAGATGTAAGGAGGTGTTTTAACAAAGCCAGGAGAGGCAGCTCAGGATGTTCAGTCTCCATCATCTCTGTGCCCAGGTGAGGTGAGGACAGGCCCCCGGCACCTCCTCTGTGCCCGTGTTGGTGTCATTCTTTACCATTGCTGGTGTTTGAGGAACTACAGGTTCTTTTTATTAAGGGACTAAAGAAAAAGAAAGGCATGGGAGGGAGGGGAAATGGAGAAACTTCATTAAAACAATTTATGTTACAGAATTTGCTTTGGTGGGGGAGAAAAATCTATTTTCTGTGTACTATTTTTGAGCAGTAGGGAACCTGGAGAAAAATGAAGTGATAGTCTGGGGGAGGGGGGGAGAACAAACAACCTCTAAGTATTTTTATTAAAATATTACTATTTTTATTCTCACTTTAGTGCTGATGGTTTTTTTTAATCTACATGTATTTTTATGAAGAGAAATACTGATTATTTTTTTTGTGTGCGTGGTGGGAAATAGTACAGACTGTCAAAAATAACCAGAGGTATTTGTTACTGCGATTTGCTAATAAAATTTTGCGAAGCAGGACGAGGCGTCTGCGTGTCTGTCTGTGTGTCCGTCGGTCCACACGAGCTGCCGTGTGGGCCCGGGCGCAGTGAGGGGGTCGGTCCCTGAATTCTGGGAGGGAGGGAGGGAAGTGGGAGCTGCCCCGGGAAGCGGCCGCGAGAGGGAGCGGGGTCCGGGCCCCTTCGTCCCGTTCCTCCCGGCGGGGACACCCCGGGAGCTGATGCTCCCTCCCGGGATCGGGGAGGGGTCACGGGGGGCTCCCGGGAAGCACAACGGAGGGGATGGGACGGGAGGGACCGCGGGGGAGCCGCCGTCCGGCACCGACACATCGTGTGGCTCGCAGGTGTGCTGAGGTGAGAGGGAAGGTCTGCTGGACCCGATGGATCGTGACGGACCCGATGGATCGTGATGGACCTGATCCCTCCTCAGCCCCGGCGTCCCCACACCGCCCCCGCTGTCCCTCGGCAGGGAGGTGAAGCCTGGCCACTTCGGACCCACTGCTGCCCTCACCTCTGCTCTGTGCTGTCTGAACTCCATTTACTTTTGTTTGCTCCTTTTTTCTAATACGTGCATGTTCCTATACACATTTATATGTAGCTCAGGGAAGCTGTATGTGCAGAGGTGTATTATATATTTAACAGTGTTGGGCTGAGAATCAAAGAGAACTCAGAGGCATTTCTTTTACCTCTCTCTTTTCTGTATGGTCACTGTGACTGGCTGACATTCTCTGTATTTTTCACTTAAATGTCTGCTCTGTCTTCACATAAACCTCAAACCTAACCAGCCTCAGGGGTAGGCAGCACACTGTTTTCAGGGTGTTCCAGTGAGAGGAGTTACAAGTTCAAGTGGCCCAGATGCACCTGATGGCAGGGAACCATCACCTGGAGATGATCACGAGCCTGATGAAGTGAGACTGGAGCAGATCCAGCGGGGCAGGGAGGATGGGGAGTGTTTGTGGGGGATGGCAGAGCTGTGCCCCAGCCGAGTGCCCGGTGTGTGGCAGAGGCTCAGGGTCAGAGGCCGAGCCTGTGATGAGCTGAGAACACAAAGGTTTAGGACAGGCCAGGAGTCGTGGCCCTTGTCATAGCGAGTAACTTTGGGGGTGGTTTGATGCCAAGCCCCGGTGGAGGGGAGGCTGGGCTTTGGCTGAATGAGGGGAGGGAAGGGGTGGCTGAGCTGGGGTTGCCCAGGGCTCTGTGACCCTGCCCTGTGCACGGCACACCCTGTGCCACAAACACGGGGCTCTTGGGTTACTCGGGAGCCTCAGCACAGCCCTTGGGCTCTACCTGCAACTCGGGGTGCCAGAGCCTGCCTGGGTTTCTCCTCAGGTGTCACTGCTGGTGTGGTCTGCTGTTATTTTTAAAGGCTGAGGTGCAGAGACTGTCACCGAGCATCAGCTTTTTATAGCACTTCACTGCAGCGAGTGCCCATCCCTCCCAGAGGTGTAACATGTCCCTACCCTACTTGGAACTCTGCTCAGTCACGGCCTTTTTAGGGTGGGATGTATCTGCTCAGCAAAAACAAGGAAGAGAAACTGTGGCACATCAGTATTTTCTAAAATGTGGGGGTTTTCCCTGAGGATGAGCCTCACGAGCTACATATAATGGATTATTTGAAGCATCTTGTAGTAGTGTCTTAATCTAACAATTATTTGGTGAAAAAAATCTTGTAAGTAATTCGGCTGCCTCTTAAATCTTTTTACTCTGCATACCTGAAATATGTTGTAAGGTTGTATAAAATTTGAATTTAATTAGATTTACTGTTTTGAAACATGGAAAAGCCTTTCGAATTTTTAGCTTAGAGCCTCTCATTCAGTTAATGAAGGACAGGAATTGCTAAATTAACTTTAATTGCATGACTAGGACTAAAGTAACAGAAAACAGTGTAAGGATGGAGTTTTGGTCTTGGTGTTGAGCTTAGTCTGGTCTTCATTCCTGCTGGGGCTTTAAAAGCTGCAGCATATAAAGTGAAGTCCTCAAAAGTCTGCAACGAGCCAAGTCTGATTTTGAAATGTGAATGGTCAAAGCCCATGATGATGATGATGAAAACCTGGGAACATGTAATGCTGCTCTGTCCTCGGGAGTGCTCCATTTCCCACATCTGCACCTGGATCAGAGCAGGAGAAAGACTTTTGCCAGCCCAGCTCAGGAGCACTCTCAGCTTGTGGTAGAAGTCAGTGCTTCAATGTGCAATGTCCCTGCACAGTGTGTGTCTGTGCCTGTGCTTATGCTCCTGTGAGGCAAATCAACGAATTAGAGACTCCATATTCTTCCCTGTGTTTGGTTATTCTGCTGGGGGAAATCCCCCAGGAGTCTGCAGGACACCTGGAATGACAGGAAGCAGGCAGCTGTGCGGCTGAAGGAGCTCCAAAGCCAGTTAGTGGGGGCAGATCACGTACCACCCATGGCCTGGCATGTCGGGGTCCACAGGCAGACCCTGCTGACAGACCTGTGGCTGCAGCCCAGGGATGTGCTCTTGTGCGAATCCTGGCCTAAATTGGTTTGTGATTCTTGTTTTTTTTCCTTAAAGACTGAATTCTTGGAGCTGTTTCATTTGCCATACACAGTGTTCGAAGGAAGGTGTTATACAGGAGAACATAAGATTTCCTGAAGTTATGAATGCAGAATCACTGCAAAGACATCGTAAATGGGTGAATGAAGTGACTGATCAGTTAGGAAGGCAAACTGTATGAAATTATGTAGATCTCTAGTTTTAGGCTTTCTAGAGCATGTAATGGAATGTATGATTTTCTTGAAGAGTGTACTCTGGTGTTACTTATGGAGAGATAAGAACAGTCATGTGTGTGGAGCTGCAAGTTCCTCAGCTTTTGCTGTAGTTGGTAGACACAGGTGTTTTCAGCCCCAGTCAGAGGAACCTGGGGAATGCTGCCTACACAACGGGCAGCTGTGTTTGCTGCCTGCAGAGACGTCTCACAGTTGCAGGCACTGAGGTTCAACCAGATCTCTCCTTTAGTTCTACTCCAGAAACTCTTTCTGCTGGTTTCCTTTTCATGGTGTCTCTCACTAAAAAGCAAACAGCTACATTGCAAAGTGATTTCCTGAGTCTGGATGCACAGAACCAATGGCTGTAACCTTATTCTACTTCGAAAGCTGAGGCCGTTTAGCCCGCAATGTTCTTTTAAGTCAGACTGGCACTTGTAGCACAGGGCTGAAAAAGGCAAACAAGAGCCCTTCTCCCCAGCAAAGAAAGCCTGCAACCTTTGGCTCTCTGGTGCACTTGCTGGGCCAGCCTGGGCACTCCATGGGCAGCAAGAGCTTTCTGTCCTCGCACCTTTGTTCTGGGAAGAATCTTCGTACATCCACCATTTTGGCAGTGGGACTAGCAGTTGGACTGCGGGGCTGAAAAAAGCAAACAACAGCTCTTATCCCCATTAAAGCAAACCTAGAACCCTTGGCTCTCTGGTGCACTTGGTGGGCCAGCCTGGGCACTCCATGGGCAGCAAGAGCTTTCTGACCTGGCACCTTTGGTCTGGCAGGAATCTTCGTCCGTATGCCATTTTGGCAGGCAAACTGGCAGTTGGAGCGCAGGGCTGAAAAAAGCAAACAAGAGCCCTTCTCCCCGGCAAAGAAAGCCAACCTAGAACCCTTGGCTCTCTGCTGCACTTGGTGGGTCAGCCTGGGCACTCCATGGGCAGCAAGAGCTTTCTGTGGTGGCATCTTTTCCCCAGGAGGAATCTTCATTTGTATC